GAGGTACCCCCATAGACTCTTAGACTCAGAGGGTCCGGTATGTATTGGGGGATCTATAAGTTTTTTAATTCTTGCTGTAGGAGGGGCTACAGAAAAAGTGACATTTACAAAGAAAAAAATGCCTTAAATTGCCGTCTTCCTTTTTTCTTTTGAAACATCACACAGACCCTCACAAGGTATGGCGGCAGTAGCAGTGCTTGTTTCCTTCAGCCGCCTCCCAGCTGCACAGTAAAAGTGATCCGGGTGGCTGTATAACTACCTGATCACATTTACACTGCAGGTGGTGGGCCCCCCCCCATCACAGCTCCCCCTTCCCCCCGCATGGTTCCTGCACTCATTCTGGGATCCAGAGACCACATCCAGTGCCTTCAGGAGGCCAAGATGGAGGAGACTGGTGAACGTCCATTCCCCAATCTCCTCTGCACTGAATGAAGCCGGCAGTCCTCAGCTCTGAGTGTTTCCCGTTTCTGAGCCATCATTCCCCGGGTGATCCAGCCAAGGAAGCATCTAACTGAGCGCCATCTGTGCATTGGAGGGTAGAGGAGACATTGGAGGTCTAATAGAGCCCCGATGTCTCATAAAGAGGACCTGTCACCTGACCAATCATGTCACAGTGGGGGGTTGTTAACTCCTTGTGATAGCAATGCAGCTAAATAGGAAATAAATACACAAGTACAAAAATACAAAATGACAATAACATTTATTAAAAAATTAAACATAACCCCCGTTGCCCTGCAAACACAAAAGTACACAAAGGGTGTGTATGTGTATGTAAAGCGTGATTGCACCACACATGTGAGGTATCGCCACGAATGTCGCAGTGAGAGGAATCATTCCACCACCACAGATCACAGTTGTCTCTATACTGATGAGCAGTAAAGGCTTTAAAGTGTCTCCTATGGAGATTTTCAGGGGCCGTCATTCTTTGCCATGTCTCAGGCGCACACAATTGTAAGACTTGACTTGTTTGGTATCTATTGGTATCTATTCACTCACAAATGCAGATTTATACATGTGTACAAAAAGGGAAAACATTGCTCCAGAGATGAAGAGGTTAAAGGAATTGGACATTTTTATTGTTTTGTTTAAGCAAAAAAAAATTCCCGCTCCTGGCTGAATGGAATTTTTTTGAAAAAAACTTTTTTTTTTTTCCCATTGACAGTGCCCCTCCCCCCTCCCCCATGCTATTTTCTCACACCTATTGGCCTATTAGCCTAGAAAATGGGCCTTTTGATTTTGCTCCGATTGATTTGGATGGGATTTGGAATCAGCATGGAAACTTCTCGGAACTCTGCTTGGACTGAACCCCGGGCAGTTGGGCTCATCTCTAGTAGAGAACCAGTGGCCCCAGGCATCCTGACAACCAGCAATGCATTCCTGATCATTCCATTCAGGTGTCAGAAGGGGTTTTCCAGGGTGGCATGGGGTGTCACTAATAAAATTCATACCAGGCCTTTCAGGTTTAGAATGGATTTCAAAGGAGACACCATGTAAAAAAAAATAGAACATGGTCCCCACCAATATCATACCAAATCCTTAAAAAACCCCAATAAAGTATGGGGTCCCCCACAAAATCCATTCTCAGACGCATATCCAGGTCTGCAGCTTGCCAGGCCAGGAAAGAGGAGGACATGTATGCACTTCCCCCACCTCCAGAACTATACCAGACCACGTGTCCTCCACATAGGGAGAGTATCTATCCAAGTCCATTCACTCCAGGTGGAAAGTTGAACAAAAGTTGAACAGGGAGTCCAATGTATGAAATCTCTGTCTGCAGAATATCGGGGAACACGAGGAATCTGTACAACATAAGTCATCAGGAAATGTATATCTGTCTGCAGAACACCGGGGGGGAGATATTGGAGAACTAATTCATGGTCACCTGGAGACAGGGGTGTATTTACCACAAGGCTAACAAGGCACTTGCCTAGGGCGGCATTTTTCCCCCAGCACATCTCCCCAGCAGAAGGGATGAAAGAAGGGACAAGCCACCATGGGAACCAGGTGGGATCTGAGAGAAGCTGCGGGCTGCTTGATGGTGTATGTAGAGCCTGGCTCTCATTCCCGGGGGATGTGTGGAGCTGTGAAGATGAGTGTCTCTCTATCGCATGGGAATGGGGGGTACTGGAAGGCTTTCCCGGGTGGGGGGCAGGGGTGTTGTTGGTCAATGTCAGGCTCTCTCCATGGGAGGAAGAAGGGGGGGTTGTTTTGGTCGGTGTCCATGGGGGGCAAATGATTTTGGTGTTGCCTAGGGCAGCACAAAACCTAAATACGCCACTGCCTGGAGATAATCAAAAGGAGAAAGTCTATCCAAACCTGTCAGATTGGTCAGAGACTCATTGGTGTCATTCTGGGCATTGCCAGACTAGGTCTTGGTTACAGAGTGAAGGGTGATGCTGCTCATACTATATGGAACCCTCATCTCCATCATGGACATTTTCTTCAGCTTCTTTCTCTTCTTAGTAAATAGAAATCTTCACAATCATATAGAAGAGGTTGGGGTCCAGAGTAGTCATAGAAAGGCCCAGCACCCCAATAGTAGAGGAAGAGGTGGTCTGGTGACATTGAGAAGAAGACTCTGGTCAGTCTCTGGATCTCCATCATTGGAAACATGGTGACAACAAATACTCCAGGATGGTGGAGGAGCTGTTGGTGTCAGTGTGGAAATGGACAGAACACGGGATGATGTCACTGAAAGAACAATACGGCTTCATTCTATGATATGTCCAGGAGAGAACGGGACTGGAAGGGGACCAGATTTTCAACATAAAATCCAGGGACACCCTACTGACCATGTCCACTTTTATTGGAGTTGGGGCAGCTGTGGAGAAGGGGGGGCGGGGATTATAGCAGCACTCAAAGCACTCTACACCAAATACTGGGTGTGGCTAAAATGTGCTCACAGTGGGAGGGGCTTAAAGAGGTATAGTTTAATAACACTTGAGCCTACCTTTATCTGGGCCAAGAGTGCATGGCTCACAGAGTGTAGAGGCCAAAAGTAAGTAAAGTACATTGTGTCCCCCAAACATAAATCCCTCTCCCCCAACCTCCATGACAAAACAACCCCCAGCACCAATCCCCTCCCCCAACCTCCATGACAAAACAACCCCCAGCACCAATCCCCTCCCCCAACCTCCATGACAAAATCCATGGCCCCTGTGATCTCCCCCAGTCCCCCAATCCCCTCCCCCAACCTCCATGACAAAACAACCCCCAGCACCAATCCCCTCCCCCAATCCTGACATGACCAAAACAACCCCCAGCACCAATCCCCTCCCCCAAACTCCATGACAAAACAACCCCCCAGCACCAATCCCCTCCCCCAACCTCCATGACAAAACAACCCCCAGCACCAATCCCCTCCCCCAACTTCCATGACAAAACCATCCCTAGCACAAATCACCCCTCCCTGAATTGTACTCATCAGACCTTGGCATGGCATTGCTGGTGAGTTCCCCACAGTCCACCATCTGCTGGTGAGTCCCCACAGTCCACCATCTGCTGGTGAGTCCCCACAGTCCACCATCTGCTGGTGAGTCCCCACAGTCCACCATCTGCTGGTGAGTCCCCACCATCTGCTGGTGAGTCCCCACAGTCCACCATCTGCTGGTGAGTCCCCACAGTCCACCATCTGCTGGTGAGTCCCCACAGTCCACCATCTGCTGGTGAGTCCCCACAGTCCACCATCTGCAGTTCCCCACAGTCCACCATCTGCTGGGGAGTCCCCCATCTGCTGGTGAGTTCCCTCCTCCCATCTCCAGTGGTAGCTCCTATACAGCTGCAGAGGGCGCCATAGACTGGCAGGACGGGGAGGAGTCTGTGACATCAGATGAAGATATCACCTCCCCAGCACCCCATCCTTCTTCTCTCTGCACAGGCAATCACCAACATGGTCATGTGACACGTCACCCTTCCCCCGCAATAAAACACTGTGCACAGGGCAGCTGCCCCTCCTGCAAGCCCCCCCCCCACCCCCTGTCCTGGCCCTGTACCCTGGTGTAGTGTTGACTTACCCGCTCCAGGCCCAGATGTGACCTGCAGGTCCCCACCACAAAGAAGAGCAAGACGACCAATAATCCATCTCCTTACCTCCAGCAGCTGAAAGGGGAGTGTGACAGACTGCCTGACACCCCGACTGGGTATCTCTGCCAAACTCCAGCTTCCTCCACTCTGAACCAGAATACAGCAAATTGACTCCAAACATCAGATAGAACCAATGTTGGAGGAAAACAGGACTGACTTTATTAACAAACAGCATTTCTACAGGAATGGCCACATTACACATCACAGGAGAAAATGACATTCCATACACAAATAAACAACCAAGAAATCAATGGATTCCTTCCCGGCACCGAGCCATCTGGACTCTGGAGGGGATTAAACAAAGTGAGATCTTCTCACCTAAACCTAATGACAACAAACAATAGTAGATGCCAGGAAACCTAGAACAGAAAATAACGTTTCTTAACCCCATATATGCTGGAACTAACTCCCAGCACCTAATCCATCACTCCAGGATAACAGTTCCACTTTCGCAGTATGCTGAGGAGTCCCAGAAACAGTCCCTCCAGCCCTGATTACATGGAAAGGGTAGCTGGTATCATTCATGGCCAGTCAGGTACCCAGGGAAGTGATGGAACCCCCGGGCCCATAGTCAGTGGGAAGGAGGATGGCCCCCAGGCCCCTCCAGAAGCTCAACTCACAGTGGTTTCTGTGAAAGGGAGGGACAGGTTAGAACATTTCCCGCACTCAAGGCTCTAATATACCTCAAGGGTTGTGTGGGATCCCTGAAGTACAAAAAGACAGGACGTCAGTGAGGAACATTTCCCTCACTCTGGACAGGAAAGTGGCTTCTCACTGTGTGAGACTTCTGATGCCTGGAAACACTGGACTTGTCTGAAAAACATTTACCACACTCAGGGCAGGAATATGGCCTCTCCCCCATGTGATATCTCTGATGTGTGTAAAGATGGGATTTCCGTGAAAAACATATCCCGCACTCAGGACAGGAATATGGCTTCTCCCCCATGTGAGATCTTTGATGTGTATAAAGACTGGACGTCTGTGAAAAAATTTCCCGCACTCAGGACAGGGATATGGCCTCTCCCCTGTGTGTGAAATTTGATGTGTATAAAGATGGGACTTCCGAGAAAAACATTTCCCACACTTAAGACAGGAATATGGCTTCTCGCCTGTGTGCAATCTATGATGTCGGTTAAGATGGGACTTCTGTGAAAAACATTTCCCACACTCAGGACAAGAATGTGTCTTCTGCCCCGTGTGTGATCTCTGATGTGAGTAAAGGCTGGACATATATGAAAAACATTTCCCGCACTCAGAACAGGAATATGGCTTCTCCCCTGTGTGCAATCTCTGATCACTGTAAAAACTGGACTTGTCTGAAAAACATTTCTCGCACTTAGGACAGGAATATGGATTTTGCCCCGTATGCAGTCTCTGATGTCTGTAAAGACTGGACTTTAATGAAAAAATATTTCCCACATTCAGGCAGGAATATGGTTTTTCCCCTGTGTGAGATCTTTTATGCACAATAGGATCTGATTTAAAATGGAAACCCTTCCCGCACTCAGTACAGGAGAAGCTCTTCCCTGTTGGAAGGCCGGCCCGGTCCCGCACAGTCTGAGGTTCCTCAGGATACGAGGAATCCGATGGTCCATCTACACTGGGTGGTGCCGGATGGACATTGGAGGGAGCCGGGTTTTCTCCTGGACTATACTGTGTGATGTCCTCATCTTCTACTTTCCAGTCTGGAGACAAAGTGAGACAATCCTCGGAGGTTTTCCTCATCTCCCGGCCATGGACTAAAATACAAAGACAAAGAGGATTACTAGACAGGAGCTGATGGTTCCCCCAAACCAGGACTCCGCCCACATCAGGCAGCTTGGTCTCTGAGGAGCTTACAATTCCACCCTCAAGGGAACTAGGAAATGGCTCCTCTGATCTCCTACCAGGTCATTTCTTTATTCATGGACCTTAGTCAGAGAATGAAGAAACAATGAAAACTGATACATAAATTGTGTCTGCAGCACAGAGACAGTCATAGGACTCTCTGACTCCAGATGGAGGGACATTGGGAGGAGGAGCTGTGAGGTCAGTGTGATGTCATAGGATTCTCTGATCCTTGATGGAAGGACATTGGGAGGAGGAGCTGTGAGGTCAGTGTGATGTCATAGGATTCTCTGACTCTGGATGGAGGGACATTGGGAGGAGGAGCTGTGAGGTCAGTGTGATGTCATAGGATTCTCTGACTCTGGATGGAGGGACATTGGGGGGAGGGAGCGGTGAGGTCAGTGTGATGTCATAGGATTCTCTGACTCTGGATGGAGGGACATTGGGAGGAGGAGTGTGAGGTCAGTGTGATGTCATAGGATTCTCTGACTCTGGATGGAGGGACATTGGGAGGAGGAGCTGTGAGGTCAGTGTGATGTCATAGGACATATAGACTCTGGATGGAGGAACATTTTGATGGGGAGCTTTGAGGGATCCTCTGTATGGGACTCCCATGCAAACCAAATCCTTGTTCCTGGGTGCGTCCTACCTCTCCTAAACTGAAGAGTGAACTTTGACCTTTACCATCCAGAAATCTGTCCGGAATCTGTGGAAGTAAGCTGTCATGTGATCAAGTGACGTGCGGAGGAACGGAGTGTAAATAGCAGACAATTGTCTCCAGAGCCCCTAATGGTGGGGATGGATTTGGCGGCGTGCTGGTGCCAAGTTTCCTCCCCCCAGGGTCACTGCAGGTGTGGAGAAAAGCTGTGTAAGAGGATATGGAGGAGAGATGAGGAGGAGATCCAGGAATCAGAGAAAGGTCAGGGCAAGCAACAGACGAGCGCATCCAAGAGACCAAGCCGGGGTCACTACACAGAAAATCAATCCAAGGAAACAACAGAACGAGGAATAGCAAGAAGGAGCTGAGAGACAAATGAGAATATTGCTCAGCCAATGGGAGATGATCTCAGCATGACTTCCATCATGAAGGAGATGAGGGGGAGGGGAGGAAGTCACTGAGGTGACCATAGATCCATGGAAATTCAGCTGGTTCAGCAGGGATTGCTCACATTGCATTTCCTCTGAGCTCCACAAGGTGGTGATCTCACTTATACCCAAAATGGAAGTCTCTATGGAAGACAGGAAGTGATGTCAGGTACAGACAGATATAGAGAGGAAGTTCCATGTGGTAGGAAGTAGAGAGAAGGCATTGGTGGAAGTGGCAGCAGAGGAGGTAAAAAAGATGTTATTTTCTATTTACACCCAGTACCCCAATGTCATGTCCATCCTTAGTCACTGTGAGTTATCAATCATGGTGAGTAGTCGCTGGAAACGGATCGTGTTGGTGGTCAGCATGTGTTTTTTCATTGGGCATTGTTCATTATTATCCGCTTCCATACCGGGCACTTTTACCCCTTCCTGCCCAGGCCAATTTTCAGGTTTCAGCGCTCTCACACTTTGAATGACAATTGCGCGGTCATACAACATTGTACCCAAACTAAAATTTTATCATTTTCTTCACACAGCTAAAGCTTTCTTTTGGTGGTATTTAATCACTGCCGGGGTTTTTATTTTTTGCTAAATTAAAAAAAAAAGACCAAACATTTTGAAAAAAACACGTTTTTTCTTTGTTTCTGTTATAAAAGTTTTGCAAATAAATAATTGTTCTTCATAAATTTAGGCCGAGATGTATTCTGCTACATGTCTTTGGTGAACATTACCCAAATTAGGATGTATTCTTTAGTCTGTAATGAAGTTATAGAGTTCACAAACTATGGAAGATATCTGAACATTGATCAATCCTGAAGTACTGACAGCCAATCTCATTTCTTGAGGTCCACGAATGTCAGAACACAGATCCCCCAAATGTCAGAACGGTACAGATATCCCCCAAATGTCAGGACGGTACAGATATCCCCCAAATGTCAGGACGGTACAGATATCCCCCAAATGTCAGGACGGTACAGATATCCCCCGTAATGTCAGGACGGTACAGATATCCCCCAAATGTCAGGACGGTACAGATATCCCCCAAATGTCAGGACGGTACAGATATCCCCCAAATGTCAGGACAGTACAGATATCCCCCAAATGTCAGGACGGTACAGATATCCCCCAAATGTCAGGACGGTACAGATATCCCCCAAATGTCAGGACGGTACAGATATCCCCCAAATGTCAGGACGGTACAGATATCCCCCAAATGTCAGGACGGTACAGACATCCCCCAAATGTCAGGACGGTACAGACATCCCCCAAATGTCAGGACGGTATCCCCCAAATGTCAGGACGGTACAGACATCCCCCAAATGTCAGGACGGTACAGACATCTCCCCAAATGACCCCTTTTTTCAAAGTAGACAGTCCCAACGTATTTCATAAGCGACATGGCAAGTTTTTTGAAGTTGTAATTTTTTTGTCATAATTTTCAGAAATGAAGGAATAAAAAAAATGATTTTCACTATATTTTTTTTACATCCTGTCACCAGTGCAGTACAGCGTCATCATATAACTGGCATGCCGGTAATCATGGATACTGACTGGTAACTGTATGAAAAAAAATTGATTTTTTTATTACATTTTTTTCTCTATTTTTAAGATGTTTTTTTTCATATTTCACTATGAGCAAACTGGTATAATGTTACCATAGTAATATTGTACTACTTTGGGGAAGTGGTCAATATTTTTATTTTTTTTTTTTTTTTTTACACAATTTTCTTATAGCAAAGAACTTCTTTTGCTATACGCAAGCATTTACCTAAATAAAATCGATTCATTCAGGGTTTTTTTTAAGCTTAACTGTGATTTGGCCACGCTAATCACATGACACAGTTGGGCTGTGATTGGCCCAGCTTGTGCATGTGATCGCTGTGACCATTCACAGCTAGACACACTTGTTTACAATGGATGGTATGAAAGGAAACCATGCATTGTATAAAACTGTCATGTGACCTGCTGTGATTGGTCACAGCAGGTCACATGGTACTGGCAATGGGTGCGGTACACAGATCTGTCATCAGCCATGTCTGAGGTACATGGCTGATGACAGATCACGCTGCTGCATGGCTTTGTGGCCAGGCAAACTGCGCATGTCTGAAAGGATGCCATATGGCGTCCACCCGGAGGGATGTGCTGCTCACCAGGCTGCCTTTGTGCTATTGGCCGGATGGCAACTGGTTAATGATGTATATCTGCATTGTTGGATGATTGACGAGGGATTTACTGTAAAGTAAATGTAAGAGCAGAATCATTGTATCAGTAGGTGAGATGTGAGGTGATCAGTAGAAATATGTAATTGTCAATCTTGTCTCATTCCATGTTATTACAGATCAGTGTTCAGTATTCAGTCACAGATATACAGTTGTGTTCAAAATAATAGCAGTCAGACATCACTAACCGGATCAATCACTGTTTTTGGTGGAAATGATATTTCTACATGGCAAATAATTTCCTAGCAGGTGTAGTAGAGTCATAGAAATCCAACAGACCCAACAGTCATGACATGCATGCTGCTGATTCTGTGTCATTGAATCACTCATTGATAGGGGCGTGTTCACAATAATAGCCGTGTGGAGTTCTATTAGTGAGGTCATTCATTCTTTGATAAACAGGCGGCAATTATTGCCCTTATTTAACCATTTCAATACCGGGCAATTTTACCCCCTTCCTGCCCAGGCCATTTTTCAGGTTTCAGCGCTCTCACACTTTGAATGACAATTGCGCGGTCATACAACATTGTACCCAAACTAAAATTTTATCATTTTCTTCACACAACTAGAGCTTTCTTTGGTGGTATTTAATCACCGCTGGGGTTTTTATTTCTTGCTAAATTAACAAAAAAAGACCAAACATTTTGAAAAAAAAACACGTTTTTACTTTGTTTCTGTTATAAAAGTTTACAAATAAATAATTGTTCTTCATAAATTTAGGCCGAGATGTATTCTGCTACATGTCTTTGGTGAAAATAACCCAAATTAGGATGTATTATTTAGTTTGTAGGAAAGTTATAGAGTTCACAAACTATGGTATAGATCTGAATATTGATCAATCCTGAAGTACTGACAGCCAATCTAATTTCTTGAGGTCCAAGAATGTCAGAACGGTACAGATATCCCCCAAATGACCCCTTTTTGCAGAGTAGACAGTCCGACGTACTTCATAAGAGGCATGGCGAGTTTTTTGAAGTTGTATTTTTTTTGTCATCATTTTTCGGAAAATTAAAAAATTAAAAAAATTATTTTCACTATTTTTTTTTTTTTACATACTGTCACCAGTGCAGTACAGCATCATCATATAACTGGCATGGCGGTGAACAGGGACACTGACTGGTGACAGTATGAAAAAAAAAATATATATAATTTTTTTTTTTTTTTTTTTTTTTTTTTTTAAAGATTTTTTTTCATATTTTACTATGACCAAAGTAGTGCAATGTTACCATAGTAACATTGTACTACTTTGGGGAAGTGATCAGTATTTTTTTTTTTTTTTTTACACAATTTGCTTATAGCAAAGAATTACTTTGCTATAAGCAAACATTTACCTGAATGACATCGATTCATTCAGGGCTTTTTTTTTTTTTTGTGCTTAGCTGTGATTTGGTCACAGCTAATCACATGACATGTGCATGTGATCACTGTGACCATTCGCAGCTAGGCACTAGTATACAATGGATGGCATGAATGAAGCCATCCATTGTATACAACTGTCATGTGACCTGCTGTGATTGGTCACAGCAGGTCACATGATACCAGCAACGGGGGCGGTACTCAGATCTGTCATCGGCTGTGTCTGTGGAGGCACACGGCCGGTGACAGATCGCACCGCTGCGCGGCTCTGCATTAGCGCAAACTGCGCATGTGCGGGAGCACGCCAAATGGCGTGCTCCCGGAATTCTAAAGCACTTTTGAAGCCGCCAAACGGCCATTGGCCGGGCGGCTAATGGTTAAGGAAGGAAGGCAGCAAATGTTGGACATGCTGGTTACAGTGCATTTCTCTCTGAAATTCTGAGGAAAATGGGGTCGTTCCAGACATTGTTCAGAAGAACAGCGTACCTTGATTAAAAAGTTGATTGGAGAGGGGAAAACATATAAAGAAGTGCAGAAAATGATCGGCTGCTCAGCTAAAATGATGGCAAATGCTTTAAAATGGCAACCAAAACCTGAAAGACGTGGGAAGAAAGCGAAAAAACTACCATTGGAATGGATAGAAGAATAGCCAAAATGGGGCGGACTCAGCCAACAATCAGCTCCAGGAAGATGAAAGAAGGTGTGACGTTCCCTGTGAGGACTGTTACAATCAGAAGACGCCTATGTGAAGCCAAGCTATCTGCAAGAAGTCCCCGCAAAGTCCCACTGTTGGAAAAAGACATGCTGAAGAGGTTACAATCTGCCAAAGAGCACATTGACTGGCCTAAAGAGAAATGGCGCAACATTTTGTGGACTGATGAAAGTAAGATTGTTCTTTTTGGGTCTAGTGGGCGGAGACAGTTTGTCAGACGACCCCCAAACACTGAATTCAAGCCACAGTACACTGTGAAGACCGTGAAGCATGGTGGTGCAAGCATCATGATATGGGGATGTTTCTCATACTACGGTGTTGGGCCTATTTATCGCATACCAGGGATCATGGATCAGTCTGAATCCATCAGAATACTTGAAGAGGTCATGCTGCCTTATGCTGAAGAGGAAATGCCCTTGAAATGGGTGTTCCAACAAGACAACAACCCCAAACACACCAGTAAACGTGCAACATCTTGGTTCCAGGCCAACAAGATGGACGTTATGGAGTGGCCAGCCCAATCCCCGGATCTTCATCCAATAGAAAACTTGTGGGGTGACATCAAAAATGCCATTTCTGAGGCAAAACCAAGAAATAGAGAAGAACTGTAGAATGTGGTCCAATCATCCTGGGCTGGAATACCTGATCACAGGGGCCAGAAGTTGGGTGACTCCATGCAACACAGATGTACAGCAGTTCTCAGAAACAGTGCGACTACAACCAAATATTCATGAAGTCATTCAAAGGAAAGCAAAATCTTCAAACATTTCTCAGTTTATATAGTGAATGTTTGAGTTTGTAAAGAAGAATACAAACACTGCGATTTTTTTTGAACCGTCTAATATTCACTTTTCTTCCATTTTTTTAGAGGAACAACACAAATTTGATGTATTTTTCTTCATGTTGTGATTTGGAATAGAATGTGTCGTGTTCCCAATGCATTTGTGTGGATGGAAATAAAAGGCTATTAGAAGGATTTTGAGCTTTATTCACTTTTTTTCAACACACGGATATTATTTTGAACATAACTATATATTCACCAATCAGCATCTGGAAGGACAGAGTAGCTTCTAGGCTAGCGGTGTCACCTGGATGCCAATGGAGCTTTGCTATCTAAGTAGACAAGCAGTTCTCACCTTGAATTCTAAAAGAAGAGCTCTAGCCATTTTGGCTAGAAACAGCAGTGGACCAGGAGAAGGTTCTGAAATGTCTGCCAGCTTTGATTTACATCCACAGATAAGAGAAATCTGTTTCATCTCTCATAAAAACTAAAATATTAGTTGCACAGAAATGGAAATACTTCCTTCTGATTGGACACACTGTAGGCTCCATCTACATGTAAAACTGTATTTGTAGCCTCTGTAGAATCCCAGAGAAACGCACAAAATGGTTATATGGTGCCTGATTGAGCTGAACAGTGATTGGTACTGTCGCAATTGGACTGATGCGCTGGGTGTTGGAAATTCTATCCCTGACTCAGTGATCCGAACCGTTCCTGGTCCATTCAAGATTGGGCACTTCAAAACACAGAATGTCCTGTGGGCTGGTACAGGAACACCCCTGAGGGTTGATTGGCCAAGGGTTAAAGTCCCACCCACCATCCGTTTTTCAATAAATTGAGTACCCTGAGATACGGACAGTGTGATTTGTACGGAGCCGGTTCGATTTGGCTGGTGAATTGCGGACTTTCATTGACTTGCTCCAATCGCAGGATAAATCTTGGCAAAAGTTTTATTTCTGTTTTTATTCTCTTTTAGTTTATAGTGAATAGCCAATTGTGTGTATTTTTGTATTCTTGGTAACTCTTTTTTTCTTTGTACATATTTTATGCCCTGCCCATTTTCAGGATATTAAGTCATACAATTAATAAGTGACTTCTGTGTACTAAGCTTGAGCTCATATCTGTATTGTAGTGTCTATGTGCTTGGTCTAAGTTCATTGCCAATCTGTATGCAATTGTACTGTGTGTGTTGGCAGATTGAATGCAGATTGTAAAGTAGCAGATCTGCTGGACAGAGATCTGTGTGTGTGTGTGTGGTGGCCCAGCAGACCAGTCTGTGGACAAACTGTTGGGTCATGGCAAGCTACTGTGTGTTGTTGTCAGGAATGGACTCGCCAATGGTGATGGGACTCACCTGCCTTGTGGGCTGCAGTACCAAGGCTGGCCAGCGGGTGCTCCCAGCAGCCAGAATCTCACTCCTGCAATCAGGCCATCACCTGAGGCTGATTGCAGGAGGTGTATTTAAGCAGGACCAGGCCTGTGATCAGTGCCATGGTGTATGTTTCCCATGAGCCCCTGTACCTGCATCCTGTCTGCTTCCTGCCTGATCCTGCTTTGATCATGACTCTGAACGAGCTCCGCCTGTCCTGACTTCGGCTATTCCTGACCACTCTTCCACTCGCTCCTGGTACCCTGTTTGCCCGTTAGCTACCGACCCGGCCTGCCTGACTACATTGTTCTCCATACATATATATATCAGTTTAGGTTTGGGTTTGTTTCACCTTGTATGTATTTGTGTTAGTTTTGGGTTTGGTTTGTTGCACTGCGTTTATGTTTGTGTTGTCCTTAATAAATTATCTTGTTTACACGCTATACCTGAAGTCTGTGTTTCCCTGTGTCAGTCCACACACCTCTGGTCATTCCCGGAGCCCTGACAGTTGTGTGTCTGGTGTGGGGGTGTGTATACAGTAGGAATAGTGATTAACACTGGGGTTCTATCTTGTAGGATAGCTGGAGGAATCCTAGAGGAGTGTGCTAATTGCTAGACTGCTCCCCCACCAGATCGTATGTAAGATTCATATCTGTCTGTGTGTGATCAGCCAGCTAGATTGGAGTGGAGACTCCCTCTAGTGGTGGCCAGAGGTAGTGCGGGCTGTGAAAGTGTATCACCGTCAGTCTTATATGCTCAAAGTAAGTCCCCTCACTCCCTCTTTACCCCAGTCACGGACCACGCTTTGGTTAGTCACCATGGGCGTGCCTTATCCATGACATTTTACATTGGGGAAATCTTTTTTTATTAATAAAGGACTAGTCATGTGGTGTGGACAACGTCCTTTTTTTTTTTTTTTTTTTTTTTTTTTTTTTTTTATATTTACAATATTTCTTTCAGAATGAGTAACCGGGGTATACGTGTATATACCCTTACGCGTTCATGTGGGGGAGGTAGCTGAGAGCCCTCTTATTTGAAGGGGGGATTCCAGATTCCAATAAGTACACACCACCAGAGACCCCCCCGAGGTCAGGGTTGTGTGGAAGAGGTCCTTTGCAAGATATACTCCCCATGTTGAGGGCACATTGCTGGCATGGTTTAGGGGAGGGGGTGTGTGCTCTGGGGAGGACCCCCAGCCTTCTTTATTGTGTGGGCTTCCCCCATTTATATCTATACCAGACTCCCATCCAGGATAAGGGTCTGCTATGGATTTTAGGAACGACCCCACACAATCTTGTTTTTTTTTTTTTTTTCCTCACCAGATCCTCTTGGACAAGGGTCCGGTATGGATAAAAGAATCCCAGATCGCTCTATTTACAAACTAGACTGAACCGGGTACATTTGGCTCCTCAATACCTTTCACTATCACCAACTCCAATGTACTGACATCATGGCTGCTCTCAGACCCCCCACCAGGTATAGGGACCCCTGTGATGTCTGCAGCTTCTGACTCTGTATTTAATCCTGTTGGAGCTTCATATACACATATCTGTCTCCAGTCAAAGGACAAGAGATGAGCCTTTTCTCTTCTATTAACCGTCTCTCCCCGCCCGCCATTTCAGGAAATGACGGACAGGTGGAGGTTCTCTCATTCTAGGAGGATGTCATATGATGTCCTTCCACTCTAACCGCAGTGCTGGGACACAGCGGATCACTGATCAGTGGAAAGAGCTGATGACCGTCATGTGATCAGCTGTGTCCAATCACAGATGATTGCATGTAAATAAGGAAATGCCGGTCACATTGACTGCTCGTGAGTGAGGAGAGGAGAGTTGGTAATCGGCAATCCTCAGAGGGGACATCTACACTGATCATCAGGTCACTGATGATCAGTGTAGCCCCACCAATGCCACCTGTCAGTGCCCATCAATGCCACATATCAGTACCTACCAGTGCACATCAATGCCACATATCAGTGCCAATCTGAGTGCCCAGTGCCTATTTAGTGCCGCCTGTCAGTGCCACCTATCAGTGCCCATCAATGCCACCTAACAGTTCAAAGTCAGTGCCGCCTATCAGTGACATATATAAGTGCTGCCTTTCAGTGCGCACCAGTGATGCCTGTCAATGCCCAACAGTGCCACCTATCAGTGCCCATCAGTTCAGCCTATCAGTGCCCATCATTGCAGCCTCATTTAGCGCACATCAGTGAAGGAGAAAAATTACTTATTTACAACATTTTATAGCAGAAGCTGAGAAAAAAACCTATTTTTTCAACATTTTCAGTTGTTTTTGATTTGTTTAGCAAAAAAATAAAAAAAAACCCAGAGGTGATTAAATACCACCAAATAGAAAGCTCTATCTGTCTCAAAAAATGACAAATTTTATATGGGTACAGTGTTGCATGACCTGCGCAATTGTCATTCAAAGTGCAACAGTACTGAAAACTGGCCTGGGCAGGAAGGGGGGTGAAAGTGCCTGGTAGGCAAGTGGTTTAAAAAAATATTATGGGGGCTTCTACAGGCTTGCAGGAAACACAACAAACACTAAGTAACCTGATCTACATGTTCCAATTCCCATTGGGAGCAGCCCGTCTATTAACCCCTTATTTCCCCATCCTAATATTATACAACCAATACAGTCCAGATAATTCACCGCTATCCATCTACAGAGAAAACCACATGACCCCACCAATGAGGATGGAGGAGGACCGGAGTCACATGACTGAGAGGATACTAAACCTCACCCTGGAGATCATCTACCTGCTGACCGGAGAGGTGAGGAGGATTCTGGGAGGTCACATGACATCACTCTTATCTCATATTAAAACACAGACCTGACCAGAGAGGTGAGGAGGATTCTGGGAGGTCACATGACATCACTCTGATCTCTATTAAAAACACAGACCTGACCGGAGAGATGAGGAGGATTCTGGGAGGTCACATGACATCACTCATCTCTAATAATAAAACACAGACCTGACCGGAGAGGTGAGGAGGATTCTGGGAGGTCACATGACATCACTCATCTCTATTAATAAAACACAGACCTGACCAGAGATGTGGGGAGGATTCTGGGAGGTCACATGACATCACTCTCATCTCTATTAATAAAACACAGACCTGACCGGAGTAGGTGAGGTGGGGATTCTGGGAGGTCACATGACAATTCACTCTTATCTCTCTGTTAATAAAACACAGACCTGACCGGAGAGGTGAGGAGGATTCTGGGAGGTCACATGACATCACTCTTATCTCTATTAATAAAACACAGACCTGACCCGGAGAGGTGAGGAGGATTCTGGGAGTCTAACATGATATTCCTATTGGTTCCTCAATACAGAGATTTTCCTCTTCTGAAGTCAGGTGATCATATGACCATCACAGTGCCTCCATGTGACTCCCTAAACCCTGAGAGACACAACATGCATAAGATTCTAGAAGTCGCCAAGAAGATGATGGAGCTGCTGACAGAGAGGTGAGCGGTGCCGGGAATTCTGGGACATTCTCCAGTAACAGACAAGGGATGTGTCTGGATGGTGACTGTATCATTGTGTGTGTCAGGTTCCTATAAGGTGTCAGGGTGTCACTGTCTATTTCTCCATGGAGGAGTGGGAGTATTTAGAAGGACACAAGGATCTCTACAAGGACGTCATGATGGACAATCAGCCGCCCCTCACATCACCGGGTAAGAGGAGACTTTATTGTAAAGGAGAGAGCAGTACGGAGGATCCACCTAGATCCCCCATCATCTGATAAACACACAGAAACGATATACTCATAAAAAAACAACTAGTCAAGAGGGTAATAGGTAAAGGTCATAAATGAACAATAAATAAAATGATAAAAAGTTCACAGGTGACTGCAGTTCTCTTAGAGTGCCTGCTTCCCTGGTAAGCCAGTGCTTGTGCAAATAGTTGTGAAAAAATTGCGCACTCACCAGATGCGCAATTTAAATGTGCATGTAAACATATATCCAGATGTCCTCAGGATAGGCCAGGTGATGGGGTGACTTCCCTCTGAAGGGTAGGTAGTGTGTCAAAAGATCCTGGTGCTTTAGTGATGATCCAAGACAGCCAGAGATCCCCTTAACCCTTTTGAGGACCGTAAGATTTTGGAACGCAAAAAAGAATCAATTTTTTTTGTTTTTAAAGATCGTACACTTCAGTTGCTGTAACTAAGCCATTTCATGAAATAATTGGCAAAAAGCTCCATCCATTTTGTTGTTTGTTGATAAGAACTAATATTTTGACTCAAACCAAAAAAAAAAAAAAAAAAAGAGTTTTATGTTCTTAATCAGATGATACACGCAATTAAAAACATGGGACAAATACGTCCCTTGGTCCTCAAAGGGTTAAGGGTTGAGTGGGGGCTGCTTCCTGGATATGCAGGAGATTACCTCTCTGGGTACTGGGATGGATCTGTGTATTTAACTGGGTGTCTGAAAATGAATACTCCACCAGGGAGTCAAAACAAGGACATGCCCATAGTGTAGTATGGTACGTATAGATTAATTCATTTATTAAGGGATGAAAGTAAAAAACCGATGCATCAGAAATATCATAAAGTGAGATGTCAGGACTAACCGAGCCACAATCAAAGATGGCCACCGGAGCTCCATGAGGCTCGGTGGCGTGATGTCACAGCGTAACTGGCTCCTTCTTAGGCATTTTGTGCGCACGCACACACTTCAGAGGGGATGCCCTCTGAAGATGTGCGTACGAAATGCATAAAGAGGAGCCAGTTACCCCATCACCTGGCCTATCCTGAGAAACATCTAGTTATATGTTAACATGCACATTTAAATTGCGCGTCTGGTGAGTGTGCAATTTTTCACAACTATTTGCACAAGCACCGGCTTATACTAGGGAAGCAGGCACTCTAAGAGCACTACAGTCACCTGTGAACTTTTTAGCATTTATTTATTGTTCATTTATGAATTTTACCTAGTACCCTCTTGACTAGTTAGTTTTTATGAGTATATTCCTATCATTATTATCTAGCGCTGCACCACTACTGAACTGTTTTATCTCGGTTACCTTTGTGTATAGCTGCTCCACTTCTTTCTAACAGTCACAATAATATTTTTACCTTTATACACAGAAACAATGGATTCAGTCAGTGTGTGTGTTTCCTACAGATGGATCCAGTCATGGGAACCCACCAGAGAGATGTCCCCGTCCTCTGTATTCCCGGGATTCCACACAGGAAGGTCACACCATCCCTCACCATCATCAGGTAGATGAGGAACAATCACTGATAGTATCATTAGGATCTGTACATTATCTGCATTGTTACCAACTCATAGAGGTCATGTGTGGATTTTTTACGTGACCTTATATTTTACAGATGATATTCTCTCTCATTTCCTTGATTTAGAGTGGAGATCCAATCGATATAGAATTTGAGGTGAAAGCAGAAGAAGAAGAGGCGTATGTGAGGGATGATCAGCAGTCTATGGAGGAGGATGGAATAACGGGGACATTTATAGAGGAGGACACTCCTACAGAGATCAGCACAGGTGGGTCATGAACACTAAATCCATTCCTCCACCCATATACTGCTCACTGATTGGTCCAGAGTAGGGCGGGGACTGGGTGATATCAGCCTGTAATCCCCTGGTCACTTTCCTGAGCTGTGTTCCCCGTCCTGTATTCCTGGATTTCCCTCGGATAATCTTCCTTCTCTGTGCTGCAGACACAATTTATGTCTCTAGACTGGATTTATGGAGGTTCTGGGGTTCAGCCGGCAGCAAAATGTTGATGTTCACAATAAGTGTGGATTGACCTGGGACATGTGATTTGGGTCTTCTCCCCCTTATCCTGGGGCTAACAGGATCTCTGACAGAACATTTCTCCCAGGGTTCCTTGCTCTGTGGTCTGCTGGCTGTGCCGGGTGGAGGGATATGTCTGTAGTGTCTCAGACCCAAGTCACTGAGTGCAGTCTCAGGAGATGGGAGGGCAGCGGTGTGGGATCTCTGCAACTTGTCTACAGTAAACATTTAATCTTCCACTGATTACTGAATACCAATATTAGTCCTGAATCTTACACTATGAATATACTAAAGAAAAAAATACTGCACCTACATCTTTATCAATAAGTGCTAAAAGTGCAAATTTCATGCAAATATATTACACTATATTGCCAAAAGTATTTTCCCCGCCCTCCCAATCATGTGATTCAAGTGTTCCAATCCCCTCCATGGACACAGGTGTATACAATCAAGCCCCTAGGCATGCAGACTGCTTCTACAAACATTTGTGAAAGAATGGGTCGCTCTCAGGAGCTCAGTGGCTCAAGCGTGGTCCCGTGATAGGTGGTCTCCTGGGCAATAAGTCCATTCGGGACATTTCCTGGCTACTTAATATTCCACTCTCAACTGTGGGAAACAACAGCAACTCAGCCACCAAGTGGTAGGCCACGTCACATGACAGAGCATGGTCTTAAGCACACAGTGCGCAGAAGTCTCCGACTGTCTGCAGAGTCAATAATAGCGAAAGACCTCCAAACTTGGTGTGGCCTTCACATGAGCCCAACAACAGTGTGTAGAGAGCTTCATGGAATGGGTTTCAATGGCCGAGCAGCTGCATCCAAACCTTCCATCACTAAGTGCAATGGAAAGCATCAGATTCTGTGGTGTAAAGCACGCCGCCACTGGACTCTAGAGCAGTGGAGACGTGTTCTCTGGAGGGACCAACCACGCTTCTGTGTCTGGCAATCCAATGGATGTGTCTGGGTTTGGTGGTTGGCAGGAGAACTGTACTTGCCTGACTGCATTGGGCCAAGTGTAAAATTTGTTGGAGGGGGATTATGGTGTGGAGTTGTTTTTTAGGGGTTGGGCTTGGCCCCCTAGTGCCAGTGAAGGGAACTTTTAAGGCAACATTTTGGACAATTTCATGCCCCCAACTTTGTGAGAAGAGTTTGGGGATGGCCCCTTCCTGTTCAAACATGACTGCGTACCAGTGCACAAAGCAAGGTCCATAAAGACATGGAGGAGCCGGTTTGGGGTGGACGAACTTGACTGGCCTCGACAGAGTCCTGACCTCAACCCCATAGAACACCTTTGGGATGAATTAGAGTGGAGACTGCGAGCCAGGCCTCCTCTCCCGACATCAGTGCCTGACCTGACAAATGTGCTTCTGGAAGAATGGTCCAACCTTCCCATAGACACCTTCCTAAACCTTTGTGGACGGCCTTCCCAGAAGAGGTGAAGCTGTTATAGCTGCAAAGGGTGGGGCCAACTCAATATTGAACCCTACGGACTAAGACTGGTGGCCATTAAAGGTCATGTGCTTGGAAAGGACGGGCCAACTCTCAATATTGAATCCTACGGACTAAGACTGGGAGGCCGTTAAAGGTCATGTGTGTGGAATGGCAGGCCGCCCAATACTTGGGGCAATATAGTGTATCATAGGTAGAAATGTCCACACATGGACTTCCTCAGTGACCCCTAAGACTACGTATGTAACTTGTATCAGGTCTCCAGGTGGATTTAGTCTGTAATATATCATAGGTAGACTCATCTCTTCAGGGAAGTCTATCACACCTCCAACTAACAACTAAACTTTTAATTCTTCCATCAGCTCATTCCCCACACTTATTACCTTTTGTACCACTTACCCCACCCAGTTAGATTGTCTGTCTCTGTATATAGCGGTGTCTAATTGTGACTTCCATAGACGCCGGAAATAATGTTTAATATTTATATATTTTAACTAGTTTTAATAGTATATAACTTATCACATTGTATGGTATATGTCTGCACTATTCATTAATTAGAGGCACAGGATAATACACTCCTAATTTTTTGACTCTTACACTATATAATTTATATTGTACATTACATCCTCCTGCCCCCTGCACTATTATACTCCTATGCACTATATACTCTATGTTACATTACATACTCCTGACCCCTGCACTATATTCTCTATGTTGTACATTACATACTCCTGACCCCTGCACTATATACTCTGTTGTACATTACATACTCCTGTCCCCTGCACTATATACTCCATGTTGTACATTACATACTCCTGACCCCTGCACTATATACTCCATGTTGTACATTACATACTCCTGACCCCTGCACTATATACTCCATGTTGTACATTACATACTCCTGACCCCTGCACTATATACTCTATGTTGTACATTACATACTCCTGACCCCTGCACTATATACTCTATGTTTGTACATTACATACTCCTGACCCCTGCACTATATACTCTTGTATGTTGCATCATTCTGATATTATATAGTTCAAACCTTAGGCATCCTATATAAGTTGTACATTACATCGGCCTTACTTCTGTTCCCCCCCATTTCCTCCCAGCTGGACATATCGAAAGATGTGATTGGAGCACAGACTTTTACATGGTGATAATAATGTGATAACATCCTCCAACTTTGGACCCTTAAACAGAAAGTGAAAGTGAGGGAGGAGTCAATACCCCAATGATGGTGGTCTTCAGGATCAGTCCAGTCTTCATCTTGGTTGTTCTCCCCCCATCCTCACTCTCTGACCTCTGGTGGGGCTCAGCCCCGCTGTTCTTCATGACTAAATCATGGACTAAATCAGGAAGTGCAGTACTTCTTGTGTTGGGAAGATGGCGATGATGAGTGATAGAGGGGGTGGGGACCCCTCGTCCTATAATCCCCTCATCACTGTCCCTCCTATAAAAGACAGTTCTGGTTGTTTCCTCACTCTCTGACTAAGGTCCATGAATAAAGAAATGACCTGGTAGGAGGTCAGAGGAGCCATTTCCTAGTTCCCTTGAGGGTGGAATTGTAAGCTCCTCAGAGACCAAGCTGCCTGATGTGGGCGGAGTCTTGGTTTGGAGGAACCAATCAGCTCCTGTCTAGTAATCCTCTTTGTCTTTGTATTTTAGTCCATGGCCGGGAGATGAGGAAAACCTCCGAGGATTGTCTCACTTTGTCTCCAGACTGGAAAGTAGAAGATGAGGACATCACACAGTATAGTCCAGGAGAAAACCCGGCTCCCTCCAATGTCCATCCGGCACCACCCAGTGTAGATGGATGGACCATCAGAACCTCAGACTGTGCGGGACCGGGCCGGCCTTCCAATAGGGAAGAGCTTCTCCTGTACTGAGTGCGGGAAATGTTCCTGTTATAAATCCCATCTTAATGTACATAAAATATCTCACACAGGGGGAAGAAGCTGTTTTCCTGTCCTGAGTGCGAGAAATGTTTTTTCATGCAAGTCTCATCTTTCCATACATCAGAGATCTCACACGGGGGAGAAGCCGTATTCCTGTCCTGAGTGCGGGAAATCTTTTTCTGATAAGTCCAATCTTTACACACATCAGAGATGTCACACACAGGAGAGAAAGCCATATTCCTGTCCTGAGTGTGGGAAATGTTTTTCAGAGAAGTCCATCTTTACACACATCAGAGATCTCACACGGGGGAGAAGCCATATTCCTGTCCTGAGTGTGGGAAATCTTTTTCAGAGAAGGCCAGACTTTACAGACATCAAAGAACTCACACAGGGGAGAAGCCACTTTCCTCTCCTGAGTGAGGGAAATGTTCCTCACTGAAGTCCTGTCTTCCTGTACATCAGGGGTCCCATGCAACCCTGGAGGTGTATTAGTGCCTTGAGTGCGGGAAATGTCTTCTAGATGAATGTTGCTGGACATCCCAGCTCTCATGTGGGGAAGAAGCACACCCTGATATACACCTCAGATATACTCCATGGCTGATCTTCATCATGGAAGGAACAGTTCATAAGGAGATCAGAGGCCCCCAAAGACATGGATGAAGTGTGGGACCAGGTTGGCCATTGATGGCAGGAGAAGAGTAAAAATGGAGTCCTGCCCTGTGATTGGCTGAGTACATTTTGTGGTGGGAGATTTTACAAACACTTAGAGGTCTGTTTAAATAAATATTTCTACCTCCTGTATACCGGACACTTCCCCCCCCCCCCCCTTCCTGCCCAGGCCGACTGGTAACTATCAGCGCTCTCACACTTTGAATGACAATTACACAGTCATGCAACATTGTACCCAAATTATAATTTTGTAATTTTTTCACACAAATAGATATTTATTTTGGTGGTATTAAACACCACTTTTTACCATTTTTCTTGTTTCTTGTTTTTTACAAATAAATGGTCTTTCCTTATAAATGTAGACAAAGGTGTATTCTGCGCCATTTCTTGGGTACAATAACCCCAATCAGTGTCTATGATTCAGTGTGTAGGAGAGTTATAGAGTCTACAAACTATGGGATAGATGTCTGAAAATCCATCATGTCTGATGACGGCAGATCTCATTTCTGAGGACCAAAAACACCAGAACGGTACAAATTGTCAGAACTTTATCTGTGAGGAAAATAATCCGTATACAATTCATGGAAACAGGCGGGGATCTGGAATGAAGGAGATTCCCTACTAATTCTCACAAAGTAACCGACATCCCAGTTCTGTATTTGTGATAATTGGAAGACAAAATAAAACGCAATAATGTGCAAAAATATATATTTATTAATAATATAAATCAGTAGAAAATGGGGATGAAATATAATAGGTGATGATAAATAATAAACAATACAAGATAACAGTACAATGATCTAATCCACAATAATGGGGAGAAATACAAGCCAGCAATTACTTCCAAATATTAATGAATTACATCCAACTGTCTGGAAATGTCGTGTAAGAAATCAGTAACTCAGCAACATGTGACAACAGATATACAAATCCCCCCCGTGATCTCTCTACACCCAGATATTCAACGCTCAACGTGTACCTTGCCATGACTTGATCTGGAATCCCATACACAGGCCAATCCAATCCGCTTACAATCTGAGATGAAGATGTAATGTTACATGAAGTAGTCTACCTTGTCATATATATACTGTATACATCCGGATAAACCAGGGCTTACATTTTTGAGTCTAGACCTACTAGCCAGGCACAATCCTTACTCTCCACCAGTTGCCCCACCCAACCTTGCCCAGATCCACCTCCAACCCCACCCCCCGGCCCCCGGCCCATCCCCCAATGCTGTCCCTAGCCCTGCCCCCAACCACACCCCTTAAAGCTTATGAAATTACATTTTTCTTTAGAATAAAGAGTCCAAAATATAAAAAAACTGCAATTATAACTTTATTATGTCAATTTAAACATCACAGCAATAGCTTAATAGCAATCGGGTGCAATCAAAACATCAAGTTTTACAGCTTTAAACCTGGAATGAACATTTTGTATTTTTTTGTTTATCTCCGGCATCTTCAGTAACTACAGTAAAGTCTCTTTTTAAAGGATGTAAGTTTAGTTTATAGAAGTATAGCATAAAAAAAGTGCTTATTTTGATGCCAAAAAACATGGAATAATAATTACTGTAAAATTTTGTTTTTTTATCTCCAGCAGAGACCTTAGAGAAGTGCGGCATTAAGAAAAAAGAAAAAAGTGCCTTTATTGATGGCCAAAAAAACATAAATAACAATAGTAAACATTTTGCATTTTTTTATCTCCAGCATCTTATTAAAAGAGAGCTTAGAGAAGTAGTGCATTAAGAAAAAACAAAGAAGTGCTTATTTAGATGCCAAAAAACATGGCATAACAATAGTAACCATTGTAACATAGAGCAGCCATGGTTTGTGTTGTACAGCAGGACCAAGACTTGTGTAATACTCTTTTTCATGATACAAAATACCACTTCAATGGCTGTGTGTGGATTGCAATCTATTCAATTAAGAAAAAAAAAAACACCAAAAAATGATTTTTTGGATGCCAAAAAGCAGTAGGAAGCCAGTTTCACATCAAGATTTGCTATGGTTTTCATTGTACAGCAGGACCAAGACTTGTGTAACGTCCCCTTTCTGATACAAAATACCCACCAATGGCTGTGTGTGGATTGTAATCTTTTAGTGGTGGTCCATTAACAGCAATCATCAGAAGATCATCCAAAGTCTCCCGTGTCAGTGATGAACGATAGACCGTCTTTATTCTGATTTGGTAGCTATAGCCACGTTCACATGAGGCGGTTGTTGGGGAAGTACGGCACAGAAATTGAACCAGAGGGAGTATGTTGCTGAATCTTTCTTTCTGCTGATTCAGTCTTTTCAGAGTCTCATTAAAAGAGTCCATTTGGAATGGAGAGTTTGAGGTCAGCCCACTCTGCTTCTAACAGCTCAATTTTGTCTTTCAAACTGATTATCAAAAACATGTTTTGCAATTCTGTGCAACTCAGTCCATCCAAAGTTGGGGATGTGAGTCTTTGGTAGCTATGGCCAAGAAACGCTGTTCAGAATATATGCTGACAGATTGTACATTATTCTTTTCTGAGTCTCAGAACGAAGAAAGCCTCAAAATGAGAGTTTGAGGTCTCTTTCTGCTCAATTTTGGCCAATTACAGTTTTGGCTGTGCAGACTCAGAAATTCTTTGTCTGGCCCCCACGCTGTTGAAGTACAATATCTGAGGAGAACGAGGAAAGCCTCAAAATGAAATCTCTTTCTGCTTTGGCCAATACAGATTGGTTAGACTGAAATTCCATCTTCTGTCGTTTTCCCAGCATCTTACTAGCTCCATGTCGTTTTCCATCTTCTGTAAAACTTACTAAGAAATTCAAGTTCGTTTTTTTTTCCTTCCATCAGAAAGATCCTGAAGAGTTTTAGCTGCTTGTTCTAGTTTGTTTTTTTACCTGACAGATCATAAGTTCCTTGTTCTGAAGACCTCTCTGACAAAGGTTTCAGCTTGCTAGAAAAATCGAATAGGAAATGCAAACGTTTCACAAACGTCATCTGTTTCAGGTCTTTCAGGATGCCTTTAACTTTAGCAGATTCACATGATCCCTCAGATGATATCTGCTCAGAATGGCTCCCTACTGTCTTCCAGTGTTGCAGAAAAGCACACAAGGCCTCAACTTTGCTGCATAACCAGCGCACTGTGTGTCCATCTTTCATTTTCAAGATTTCCTCAAAGTGTCTGCGAGATCTTTACTGGTTGGCAACCCTTCTTGATCCACGTTACAAGGGTCAAGGTGCAGAGCTCATCCAGTCTTCCCAGAGGGAGCAGAGGATGAAACATCCTGAGGATGCCTTGAAATTGTGTAACACCTTTCCAGACACTGGGAGGTCACCATTTCCTGGACAACGTGTTTCTGAGGCTTCATTCTGTCAAAGGAAAAAAGCGGTGGAGAAGGCGGCCAGCTGACCGATGCCTTTAAATAGTTCTTTAGTCCTCAGCGCCCAGGGCTGTTAGGTTTAAGCACCTATCGGCAGGGTCTGCATCATATGGTGCAGGATTATCTAGGGGCAAGAACAGACTTGGAGACCTTTCCAACTGAGATCATCCACTGGGTTACTGGGTCTTGAGGATGGATCACTGGCCAGAACTTGCTCAATATGCCATCAAGGTACTGGCCTGTCCTGCACCCAGCGTGCTTTCTGAACGGACATTCAGTGCTGCTGGAGGTTTTGTGATGGATAAGAGTGCGTCTGTCCACAGACTCCGCTGACCAGCTGACATTTATCAACAAGAATCAATCCTGGATAATTTTTCTATAATTTTTTAACAGTTTTTAACTGCAGGGCCCATGACTGCACCCAGCAATAGTAACTGTGAGGGGACACAGTGTTCAGGCACCATCAACACTGAAGGCCACATTTTTCTACACCTGTATGAGAGGGTGCATTACATATAATTAGAATTTTTAGAGCCGGGTCCAATCCTGCACTTGTCAAGAATAACTCTGAAGGGTTACGGTGTCAGTCCTGCTGCAGCAGGTTCTATACATTGTACAGATGTGCAACTTTGCAGGTAGTTTAAGGGCCCCCCAGGCATGATATTTAAATTATATATTTTTTTTTTTACTTTAAGCAATGAAAAATGACTGCCCCTTTAAAAACTGTACTATTAGAATTTTTTTTCCACTGATTCATGTCCATCAGGGCAGCACCCGAGTTCCCCCATACCACTTTTATTGCTAACACCTAGCATATAATCCTTCAAAATGGGCACTTTTGAATTTTCAAGTTTGAGTCCCCATAGGTTCGATGTTGGCGGCGAACTTTTGTTCTGTTCGAATGTTCTACCATGAACTGAACCGGGGGTGTTCAGCCCATCACTAGTGATACACTAGAAGTGCAGAGAGAGAGCACACAGGGCAGATCACACAAAACCTGACATATGGGGGTGTATTGGGGAATGTGAGGCACAGTACGGATAACAAGACACAGCACAACAAAATAGTCCACCAGGTAGCAATGTAATACCACATAGATAGTCCATGTAGGATGGCCAACCAAAATGGAGAACCAGTACACCAGGCCACCAGACAGATGGTATGGCAAGGGGAATGTACCCAGCCCACAGGGTGAATACAGCATAGCAGTGGTTAAGTCCAGCACACTAGGCAGGGATCTACGCGGACCAGGGTAGGATGTAGCAAGGGTCAAATCCAGCTGATACAGCAGGGATCCGGGCAGACAAGTGGTTGAGTCCAGCACAGGGCAGGGAGGGGGCAGACAGAGTCCAGACCAGGCAATAGCAGATAGCAGTGGTTAAGTCCAGCACACAAGGCAGGGATCTAGGTGGACCAGGGGGTGGATATAGCAAGGGTCAAATCCAGCTGATACAGCAGGGATCTGGGCAGACAAGTGGTTGAGTCCAGCACAGGGCAGGGATCTGGGCAGACAAGTGGTTGAGTCCAGCACAGGGCAGG